TTCCACACGCTAGGCCCTTTTTCTTTTTATTTTGCACACGCTAGGCCCTTGTTCTTGCTATTTTGCACACGCTAGGCCCTTGTTCTTTTTATTTTGCACACACTAGGCCCTTGTTCTTGCAATTTTGCACATGCTAGACCCTTGTTCTTTTTATTTTGCACACGCTAGGCTTTTGTACTTGCCATTTTGCGAACGCTTGGCCCTTGTTCTTGATTTTTTGCACACGCTAGGCCCTTGCTCTTGCTATTTTGCACTCGCAAGAACCTTGTTCTTGCAATTTTGCACACGCTAGGCCCTTGTTCTTTTTATTTTGCACACGCTAGGCCCTTGTTCTTTTTATTTTGCACACGCTAGGCCCTTGTTCTTGCTATTTTGCACACGCTATGCCCTTGTTCTTTCTATTTTGCACACGCTAGGCTCTTGTTCTTGCAATTTTGCAATGCTAGGCCCTTGTTTTTTTTATTTTGCACATGCTAGGCCCTTGTTCTTTATATTTTGCACACGCTAGGCCCTTGTTCTTGCTATTTTGCAAATGCTATGCCCTCGTTCTTTTTTTTTTTGCACACGCTAGGCCCTTGTTCTTGCAATTTTGCACATGCTAGACCCTTGTTCGTTATATTTTGCACACGCTAGGCCCTTGTTCTTGCTATTTCGCGAACGCTAGGCCCTTGTTCTTGATTTTTTGCACACACTAGGCCCTTCCTCTTGCTATTTTGCACTCGCTAGGCCCTTGTTCTTGCAATTTTGCACACGCTAGGCCCTTGTTCTTGCAATTTTGCACACGCTAGGCCCTTGTTCTTTTTATTTTGCATACGCTAGGCCCTTGTTCTTTTTATTTTGCACACGCTAGGCCCTTGTTCTTGCTATTTTGCACACGCTAGGCCCTTGTTCTTGCAATTTTGCACATGCTAGACCCTTGTTCTTTTTATTTTGCACACGCTAGGCCCTTGTTCTTGCTATTTTGCGAACGCTAGGCCCTTGTTCTTGATTTTTTGCACACGGTAGGCCCTTGCTCTTGCTATTTTGCACTCGCTAGGCCCTTTTTCTTGCAATTTTGCACACGCTAGGCCCTTGTTCTTGCAATTTTGCACTCGCTAGGCCCTTGTTCTTTTTTTTTTTGCACACGCTAGGCCCTTTGTTTTTTTTATTTCGCACACGCTAGGCCCTTGTTCTTGCTATTTTGCACACGCTATGCCCTTGTTCTTTTTATTTTGCACACGCTAGGCCTTTGTTCTTGCAATTTTGCACATGCTAGACCCTTGTTCTTTTTATTTTGCACATGCTAGGCCCTTGTTCTTGCTATTTCGCAAACGCTAGGCCCTTGTTCTTGATTTTTCGCACACGCTAGGCCCTTGCTCTTGCTATTTTGTACTCGCTAGGCCCTTCTTTTTGCAATGTTGCACACGCTAGGCCCTTGTTCTTGCAATTTTGCACACGCTAGGCCCTTGTTCTTTTTATTTTGCACACGCTAGGCTCTTGTTCTTTTTATTTTGCACACGCTAGGCCCTTGTTCTTTTTATTTTGCACACGCTAGGCCCTTGTTCTTGCTGTTTTGCACACGCTATGCCCTTGTTCTTTTTATTTTGCACACGCTAGGCCCTTGTTCTTGCAATTTTGCACATGCTAGACCTTTGTTCTTTTTATTTTGCACACGCTAGGCCCTTGTTCTTGCTATTTCGCGAAGGCTTGGCCCTTGTTCTTTATTTTTTTGCACACGCTAGGCCCTTGTTCTTGCTATTTTGCACTCGCTAGGCCCTTGTTCTTGCAATTTTGCACACGCTAGGCCCTTGTTCTTGCAATTTTGCACACACTAGGCCCTTGTTCTTTTTATTTTGCACACGCTAGGCCCTTGTTCTTTTTATTTTGCACACGCTAGGCCCTTGTTCTTGCTATTTTGCACACGCCATGCCCTTGTTCTTTTTATTTTGCACACGCTAGGCCCTTGTCCTTTTTATTTTGCACACGTTAGGCCCTTGTTCTTGCTATTTTGCAAACGCTAGGCCCTTGTTCTTTTTATTTTGCACACGCTAGGCTCTTGTTCTTGCAATTTTGCAACGCTAGGCCCTTGTTCTTTTCATTTTGCACATGCTAGGCCCTTATTCTTTTTATTTTGCACACGCTAGGCCCTTGTTCTTGCTATTTTGCAAACGCTATGCCCTCGTTCTTTTTTTTATTTCACACGCTAGGCCCTTGTTCTTGAAATTTTGCACATGCTAGACCCTTGTTCGTTATATTTTGCACACGCTAGGCCCTTGTTCTTGCTATTTCGCGAACGCTAGGCCCTTGTCCTTGATTTTTTGCACACGCTAGGCCCTTGCTCTTGCTATTTTGCACTCGCTAGGCCCTTGTTCTTGCAATTTTGTATACGCTAGGCCCTTGTTCTTGCAATTTTGCACACGCTAGGCCCTTGTTCTTTTTATTTTGCACACGCTAGGCCCTTGTTCTTTTTATTTTGCACATGCTAGGCCCTTGTTCTTACTATTTTGCACACGCTATGCCCTTGTTCTTTTTTTTTTGCACACGCTAGGCCCTTGTTCTTTTTGTTTTGCACACGCTAGGCCCTTGTTCTTGCTATTTTGCAAACGCTATGCCCTCGTTCTTCTTTTTTTGCACACGCTAGGCCCTTGTTCTTGCAATTTTGAACATGCTAGACCCTTGTTCGTTATATTTTGCACACGCTAGGCCTTTGTTCTTGCTATTTCACGAACGCTAGGCCCTTGTTCTTGATTTTTTGCACATGCTAGGCCCTTCCTCTTGGTATTTTGCACTCGCTAGGCCCTTGTTCTTGCAATTTTGCACACGCTAGGCCCTTGTTCTTGCAATTTTGCACACGCTAGGCCCTTGTTCTTTTTACTTTGCACACGCTAGGCCCTTGTTCTTTTTATTTTGCACACGCTAGGCCCTTCGTCTTGCTATTTTGCACACACTATGCCCTTGTTCTTTCTATTTTGCACACGCTAGGCTCTTGTTCTTGCAATTTTGCAATGCTAGGCCCTTGTTTTTTTTATTTTGCACATGCTAGGCCCTTGTTCTTTTTATTTTGCACACGCTAGGCCCTTGTTCTTGCTATTTTGCAAACGCTATGCCCTCGTTCTTTTTTTTTTGCACACGCTAGGCCCTTGTTCTTGCAATTTTGCACATGCTAGACCCTTGTTCGTTATATTTTGCACACGCTAGGACCTTGTTCTTGCTATTTCGCGAACGCTAGGCCCTTGTTCTTGATTTTTTGCACACGCTAGGCCCTTCCTCTTGCTATTTTGCACTCGCTAGGCCCTTGTTCTTGCAATTTTGCACACGCTAGGCCCTTGTTCTTGCAATTTTGCACACGCTAGGCCCTTGTTCTTTATATTTTGCACACACTAGGCCCTTGTTCTTTTTATTTTGCACACGCTAGGCCCTTGTTCTTGCTATTTTGCACACGCTAGGCCCTTGTTCTTGCAATTTTGCACATGCTAGACCCTTGTTCTTTTTATTTTGCACACGCTAGGCCCTTGTTCTTGCTATTTTGCGAACGCTAGGCCCTTGTTCTTGATTTTTTGCACACGGTAGGCCCTTGCTCTTGCTATTTTGCACTCGCTAGGCCCTTGTTCTTGCAATTTTGCACACGCTAGGCCCTTGTTCTTGCAATTTTGCACACGCTAGGCCCTTGTTCTTTTTTTTTTGCACACGCTAGGCCCTTGTTCTTTTTATTTCGCACACGCTAGGCCCTTGTTCTTGCTATTTTGCACACGCTATGCCCTTGTTCTTTTTATTTTGCACACGCTAGGCCTTTGTTCTTGCAATTTTGCACATGCTAGACCCTTGTTCTTTTTATTTTGCACATGCTAGGCCCTTGTTCTTGCTATTTCGCAAACGCTAGGCCCTTGTTCTTGATTTTTCGCACACGCTAGGCCCTTGCTCTTGCTATTTTGTACTCGCTAGGCCCTTCTTTTTGCAATGTTGCACACGCTAGGCCCTTGTTCTTGCAATTTTGCACACGCTAGGCCCTTGTTCTTGCAATTTTGCACACGCTAGGCTCTTGTTCTTTTTATTTTGCACACGCTAGGCCCTTGTTCTTTTTATTTTGCACACGCTAGGCCCTTGTTCTTGCTATTTTGCACACGCTATGCCCTTGTTCTTTTTATTTTGCACACGCTAGGCCCTTGTTCTCGCAATTTTGCACATGCTAGACCTTTGTTCTTTTTATTTTGCACACGCTAGGCCCTTGTTCTTGCTATTTCGCGAAGGCTTGGCCCTTGTTCTTGATTTTTTTGCACACGCTAGGCCCTTGTTCTTGCTATTTTGCACTCGCTAGGCCCTTGTTCTTGCAATTTTGCACACGCTAGGCCCTTGTTCTTGCAATTTTGCACACACTAGGCCCTTGTTCTTTTTATTTTGCACACGCTAGGCCCTTGTTCTTTTTATTTTGCACACGCTAGGCCCTTGTTCTTGCTATTTTGCACACGCTATGCCCTTGTTCTTTTTATTTTGCACACGCTAGGCCCTTGTTCTTGCAATTTTGCACTCGCTAGGCCCTTGTTCTTGCAATTTTGCACACGCTAGGCCCTTGTTCTTTTTATTTTCCACACGCTAGGCCCTTTTTCTTTTTATTTTGCACACGCTAGGCCCTTGTTCTTGCTATTTTGCACACGCTAGGCCCTTGTTCTTTTTATTTTGCACACACTAGGCCCTTGTTCTTGCAATTTTGCACATGCTAGACCCTTGTTCTTTTTATTTTGCACACGCTAGGCTTTTGTACTTGCCATTTTGCGAACGCTTGGCCCTTGTTCTTGATTTTTTGCACACGCTAGGCCCTTGCTCTTGCTATTTTGCACTCGCAAGAACCTTGTTCTTGCAATTTTGCACACGCTAGGCCCTTGTTCTTTTTATTTTGCACACGCTAGGCCCTTGTTCTTTTTATTTTGCACACGCTAGGCCCTTGTTCTTGCTATTTTGCAAACGCTATGCTCTCGTTCTTTTTTTTTTGCACACGCTAGGCCCTTGTTCTTGCAATTTTGCACATGCTAGACCCTTGTTCTTTATATTTTGCACACGCTAGGCCCTTGTTCCTGCTATTTTACGAATGCAAGGCCCTTTTTCTTGATTTTTTGCACACGCTAGGCCCTTCCTATTGCTATTTTGCACTCGCTAGGCCCGCTCCCTTTGCCATTCTCCCGCTTTCCGTCAGCCCGCCCCATTCTCCCACTTTCCATCAGCCCGCCCCCTTCTCTCTCCTTCCATCACCCCGCCCCATTCTCCCTCCTTCCATCACCCTGCCCAATTCTTCCGCTTTCCATCAGCCCGCCCCATTCTCCCGCTTTCCGTCACCCCTCCCTTTTCTCCCGCATTCCATCTCCCCGCCCCATTCCCCCGCTTTCCATCACCCCTCCCCATTCTCCCTCCTTCCATCACCCCGCTCCATTCTCTCGCTTTCCATCACCGCGCCCCATTCTCCCGCTTTCCATCACCCTGCCCCATTCTCCCTCCTTCCATCACCCCGCCCCATTCTCCCGCTTTCCATCACCCCGCCCCATTCTCCCTCCTTCCATCACCCCGCCCCATTCTCCCTCATTCCATCACCCTGCCCCATTCTCCCGCTTTCCATCACCGCGCCCCATTCTCCCGATTCCCATAACCCAACCCCATTCCCCCGCTTTCCATCACCCCGCCACATTTTCCCACTTTCCATCACCCCGCCCCCTTCTCTCTCCTTCCATCACCCCACCCCATTCTCCCTCCTTCCATCAACCCGCCCCATTCTCCCGCTTTCCATCAGCCGGCCCCATTCTCCCGCTTTCCATCACCCCGCCCCTTTCTCCCGCTTTCCATCTCCATGCCCCATTCTCCCGCTTTCCATCACCCCGCCCCATTCTCCCGCTTTCCATCACCCAGCCCCATTCTCCCGCTTTCTGTCACCCCGCCCCATTTTCCCGCTTTCCATCACCCCGCCCCATTCTCCCGCTTTCCATCACCCTGCCCCAATCTCCCGCTTTCCATCACCCCACCCCATTCTCCCTCCTTCCATCACCCCGCCCCATTCTCCCGCTTTCTATCACCCCGCCCCATTCTCCTGCTTTCCATCACCCAGCCTCATTCTCCCGCTTTCCATCACCCCGCCCCATTCTCCCGCTTTCCATCACCCCGCCCCATTCTCCCGCTTTCCATCACCCCACCCCATTCTCCCTCCTTCCATCTCCCCGCCCCATTCTCCTGCTTTCCATCACCCCGTCCCATTCTCCCTCCTTCCATCACCCCGCCCAATTCTCCCTCCTTCCATCACCCCGCCCCATTCTCCAGCTTTTCATCAGCCCGCCCCATTCTCCCGCTTCCCATAACCCCACCCCCTTCTCCCGCTTTCGATCACCCCGCCACATTCTCCCGCTTTCTATCACCCCGCCCCATTCTCCCTCCTTCCATCACCCCGCCCCATTCTTCCGCTTTCCATCACCCCGCCCCATTCTACCGCTTTCCATCATCCCGCCCCATTCTCCCTCCTTCCATCACCCCGCCCCATTCTCCCGCTTTCCATCACTCCGCCCCATTCTCCCTCCTTCCATCACCCCGCCCCATTCTCCCTCCTTCCATCACCCCGGCCCATTCTCCCGCTTTCCATCACCCCGCCCCATTCTCCTGCTTCCCATAACCCCACCCTATTCTCCCGCTTTCCATCACCCTGCCACATTCTCCCACTTTCCACCACCCCGCCCCCTTCTCTCTCCCTCCATCACCCCGCCCCATTCTCCCTCCTTCCATCAACCCGCCCGAATCTCCCGCTTTCCATCAGCCCGCCCCATTCTCCCGCTTTCCATCACCCCTCCCGTTTCTCCCACTTTCCATCTCCCCGCCCCATTCTCCCGCTTTCCATCACCCCGCCCCATTCTCCCGCTTTCCATCACCCCGCCCCATTCTCCCTCCTTCCATCACCCCGCCCCATTCTCCCTCATTCCATCACCCCGCCCCATTCTCCCACTTTCCATCATCCCGCCCCATTCTACCTCCTTCCATCATCCCGCCCCATTCTTCCGCTTTCCATCACTCCGCCCATTCTCCCTCCTTCCATCACCCCTCCCCATTCTCCCTCCTTCCATCACCCCGCCCCATTCTCCTGCTTTCCATCACCCCGCCCCATTCTCCTGCTTTCCATCACCCCGTCCCATTCTCCCTCCTTCCATCACCCCGCCCCATTCTCCCTCCTTCCATCACCCCGCCCCATTCTCCCGCTTTCCATCAGCCCGCCCCATTCTCCCACTTCCCATAACCCCACCCCCTTCTCCCGCTTTCCATCACCCCGCCACATTCTCCCGCTTTCTATCACCCTGCCTAATTCTCCCTCCTTCCATCACCCCGCCCCATTCTCCCGCTTTCCATCACCCCGCCCCATTCTACAGCTTTCCATCATCCCGCCCCATTCTCCCTCCTTCCATCACCCCGCCCCATTCTCCCGCTTTCCATCACTCCGCCCCATTCTCCCTCCTTCCATCACCCCGCCCCATTCTCCCTCCTTCCATCACCCCGCCCCATTCTCCCGCTTTCCATCACCCCGCCCCATTCTCCCGCTTCCCATAACCCCACTCCATTCTCCCGCTTTCCATCACCCCGCCACATTTTCCCACTTTCCATCACCCCGCCCCCTTCTCTCTCCTTCCATCACCCCGCCCCATTCTCCCTCCTTCCATCACCCCGCCCCATTCTCCTGCTTTCCATCAGCCCGCCCCATTCTCCCGCTTTCCATCACCCCGCCCCTTTCTCCCGCTTTCCATCTCCCCGCCCCATTCTCCCGCTTTCCGTCACCCCGCTCCATTCTCCCGCTTTCCATCACCCCGCCCCATTCTTCCGCTTCCCATCATCCCGCCCCTTTTCCCCGCTTTCCATCACCCCTCCCCATTCTCCCTCCTTCCATCACCCCGCCCCATTCTCCCGCTTTCCATCACACCCCCTCAATCTTCTGCTTTCCATCACCCCGCCCCATTCTCCCGCTTTCCATCACCCTGCCCCATTCACCCGCTTTCTATCACCCGCCCCATTCTCCCGCTTTCCATCACCCCGCCCCATTCTCCCGCTTTCCATCACCCCACCCCATTCTCCCGCTTTCCATCCCCCCGCCCCATTCTCCCGCTTTCCATCACCGCGCCCCATTCTCCCGCTTTCCATCACTCTGCCCCATTCTCCCGCTTTCCATCACCCCGACCCATTCTCCCACTTTCCATCACCCCGCCCCATTCTCCCTCCTTCCATCACCCCGCCTCATTCTCCCTCCTTCCATAACCCCGCCCCATTCTCCCACTTTCCATCACCCCGCCCCATTCTCACGCTTTCGATCACCCCGCCCCATTCTCCCGCTTTTCCTCACCCCGCCCCATTCTCCCGCTTTCCATCACCCCGCCCCATTCTCCCACTTTCCCTCACCCCGCAACCAGTCTCCCGCTTTCCATAGCCCCCCCCTATTCTCCCGCTTTCCATCACCCCGCCCCCTTCTCCCGCTTTCCATCACCCCTCCCCATTCTCCGTCCTTCCATCACCCCACCCCATTCTCCCTCCTTCCATAACCCCCCCCATTCTCCTGCTTTCCATCACCCCGCCCCATTCTCCCGCTTTCCCTCACCCTGCCCCAGTCTCCTTCTTTCCGTCACCCCGCCCCACTCTCCCGCTTTCCATCACCCCGCCCTATTCTCCCTCCTTCCATCACACCGCCCCATTCTCACTCCTTGCATCACCCCGCCCCATTCTCCCGCTTTCAATCACCCCGCCCCATTCTCCCTCCTTCCGTCACCCCCCCCCCCCTTCTCCCTCCTTCCATAACCCCGCCCGATTCTCCCGCTTTCCATCACCCCGCCCCATTCTCCCGCTTTCCATCACCCCGCCCCATTCTCCCGCTTTCCATCACCTCGCCCCATTCTCCCGCTTTCCATCACTCCGCCCCATTCTCCCGCTTTCCATCAGCCCGCCCCATTCTCACTCTTTCCATCACCCCACCCCATTCTTCCTCCTTCCATCACCCCGCCCCATTCGCCTGATTTCCATCGCCCCGCCCAATTCTCCCGTTTTCCATCACCCCGCCCCATTCTCCCACTATCCATCACCCCGCCTCATTATCCCGCTTTCCATCACCCCGCCCCATTCTCTCGCTTTCCATCACCCCGCTCATTCTCTCGCTTTCCATCAACCCGCCCCATTCTCCCGCTTTCCATCACCCCGCCCCATTCTCCCGCTTTCCATCATCCCACGCCATTCTCCCTCCTTCCATCGCCCCGCCCCTTTCTCCCGCTTTCCATCGCCCTGCCCCATTCTCCCGCTTTCCATCACCCCGCCCCATTCTCCCGCTTCCCATCACCCCGCCCCATTCTCCCGCTTTCCATCACTCCGCCCCATTCTCCCAATCTCCATCACCCCGCCCCATTCTCCCTCCTTCCATCACCCCGCCCCATTCTCCCTCCTTCCATCACCCCGCCTTATTCTCCCGCTTTCCATCACCCCGCCCCATTCTCCCGCTTTCCATCACCCCGCCCCATTCTCCCGCTTTCCATCACCCCGCCCCATTCTCCCGCTTTCCATCACCCCGCCCCATTCTCCCTCCTTCCATCACCCCGCCTCATTCTCCCTCCTTCCATAACCCCGCCCCATTCTCCCACTTTCCATCACCCCGCCCCATTCTCACACTTTCGATCACCCCGCCCCATTCTCCCGCTTTTCCTCACCCCGCCCCATTCTCCCGCTTTCCATCACCCCGCCCCATTCTCCCACTTTCCCTCACCCCGCAACCAGTCTCCCGCTTTCCATAGCCCCCCCCTATTCTCCCGCTTTCCATCACCCCGCCCCCTTCTCCCGCTTTCCATCACCCCTCCCCATTCTCCGTCCTTCCATCACCCCACCCCATTCTCCCTCCTTCCATAACCCCCCCCATTCTCCTGCTTTCCATCACCCCGCCCCATTCTCCCGCTTTCCCTCACCCTGCCCCAGTCTCCTTCTTTCCGTCACCCCGCCCCACTCTCCCGCTTTCCATCACCCCGCCCTATTCTCCCTCCTTCCATCACACCGCCCCATTCTCACTCCTTGCATCACCCCGCCCCATTCTCCCGCTTTCAATCACCCCGCCCCATTCTCCCTCCTTCCGTCACCCCCCCCCCCCCTTCTCCCTCCTTCCATAACCCCGCCCGATTCTCCCGCTTTCCATCACCCCGCCCCATTCTCCCGCTTTCCATCACCCCGCCCCATTCTCCCGCTTTCCATCACCTCGCCCCATTCTCCCGCTTTCCATCACTCCGCCCCATTCTCCCGCTTTCCATCAGCCCGCCCCATTCTCACTCTTTCCATCACCCCACCCCATTCTTCCTCCTTCCATCACCCCGCCCCATTCGCCTGATTTCCATCGCCCCGCCCAATTCTCCCGTTTTCCATCACCCCGCCCCATTCTCCCACTATCCATCACCCCGCCTCATTATCCCGCTTTCCATCACCCTACCCCATTCTCTCGCTTTCCATCACCCCGCTCATTCTCTCGCTTTCCATCAACCCGCCCCATTCTCCCGCTTTCCATCACCCCGCCCCATTCTCCCGCTTTCCATCATCCCACGCCATTCTCCCTCCTTCCATCGCCCCGCCCCTTTCTCCCGCTTTCCATCGCCCTGCCCCATTCTCCCGCTTTCCATCACCCGGCCCCATTCTCCCGCTTCCCATCACCCCGCCCCATTCTCCTGCTTTCCATTACTCCGCCCCATTCTCCCAATCTCCATCACCCCGCCCCATTCTCCCTCCTTCCATCACCCCGCCCCATTCTCCCTCCTTCCATCACCCCGCCCCATTCTCCCGCTTTCCATCACCCCGCCCCATTCTCCCGCTTTCCATCACCCCGCCCCATTCTCCCGCTTTCCATCACCCCGCCCCATTCTCCCGCTTTCCATCACCCCGCCCCATTCTCCCTCCTTCCATCACCCCGCCCCATTCTCCCGCTTTCCATCACCCCGCCCCAGTCTCTCGCTTTCCATCAACCCGCCCCATTCTCCCGCTTTCCATCACCCCGCCCCATTCTCCCTCCTTAACCCCGCCCCATTCTCCCTCCTTCCATCACCCCGCCCCATTCTCACTCCTTCTATCACCCCGCCCCATTCTCCAGCTTTCAATCACCTCGCCCCATTCTCCCGCTTTCCATCACCCTGCCCCATTCTAACGCTTTCCATCACCCCGCCCCATTCTCCCGCTTTCCATAGCCCCGCCCCATTCTCCCGCTTTCCATCACCCCGCCCCTATCTCCTGCTTTCCATCACCGCACCCCGTTCTCCCGCTTTCCATCACACCGCCCCATTCTCCCGCTTTCCATCACCCCGCCCCGTTCTCCCGCTTTCGATCACCCCACCCCATTCTCCTACTTTCCATCACCCTGCCCCCTTCTCCCGCTTTCCATCAGCCCGCCCCATTCTCCTTCCTTCCATCACCTCGCCCCATTCTCCCTCCTTCCATCACCCCGCCCCATTCTCACTCCTTCCATCACCCCGCCCCATTCCCCCGCTTTCAATCACCCCGCCCCATTCTCCAGCTTTCCATCACCCCGCCCCCTTATCCCGCTTTCCATCACCCCTCCCTATTCACCCGCTTTCCATCACCCTGCCCCATTCTCCCGAAATCCATCAGCCCGCCCCATTCTCCCTCCTTCCATCACCCCGCCCCATTCTCCCTCCTTCCATCAACCCCCCCTTTCTCCCTCCTTTCATATCCCCGCCCCATTCTCCTGCTTTCCATCACCCCGCCCCCTTCTCCCGCTTTCCATCACTGCGCCCCATTCTCCCTCCTTCCATCACCCCGCCCCATTCTCCCGCTTTCCATCACCCTGCCCCATTCTCCCGTTTACCATCACCCCGCCCCATTCTCCCACTTTCCATCACCCCGCCCCATTCTCCCGCTTTCCATCACCCCGCCCCATTCTCCCGCTTTCCATCACCCCGCCCCATTCTCCCGGTTTCCATCACTCCGCCCCATTCTCCCGCTTTCCATCACCCCGCCCCATTCTCCTGCTTTCTATCACCCCGCCCCATTCTCCCGCTTTCCATCACCCCTCCCCATTCTCGTGCTTTCCATCACCTCGCCCCATTCTCCCGCTTTCCATCACCCCGCCCCATTCTCCCGCTTTCCACCACCCCACCCCATTCTCCCGCTTTCCATCACCCTGCCCTATTCACCCGCTTTCCATCACCCCGCCCCATTCTCCCTCCTTCCATCACCCCGCTCCATTCTCTCGCTTTCCATCACCCCGCCCCATTCTCCCGTTTTCCATCATCCCGCCCCATTCTCCTTCCTTCCATCACCCCGCCCCATTCTCCCGCTTTCCATCACCCCGCCCCATTCTCCCGCTTTCCATCACCCCGCCCCATTCTCCCGCTTTCCATCACCCCGCCCCATTCTCCCTCCTTCCATAACCCCGCCCCATTCTCCCTCCTTCCATCACCCCGCCCCATTCTCCTGCTTTCAATCACCCCGCCCCATTCTCCCACTTTCCATCACCCCGCCCCATTCTCCCTCCTTCCATCACCCCGCCCCATTCTACCTCCTTCCATCACCCCGCCCCATTCTCCCGCTTTCCATCACCCCGCCCCATTCTCCCGTTTTCCATCACCCCGCCCCATTCTCCCACTTTCCATCACCCCGCCCCATTCTCCCTCCTTCCATCACCCCGCCCCATTCTCCCGCTTTCCATCACCCTGCCCCATTCTCCCGCTTTCCATCACCCCGCCCCATTCTCCCGCTTTCCATCACCCCGCCCCATTCTCCCTCCTTCCACCACCCCGCCCCATTCTCCCGATTTATATCACCCCGGCCCATTCTCCCTCCTTCCATCACCCCGCCCCATTCTCCCTCCTTCCATCACCCCGCCCCATTCTCCCGCTTTCCATCACCCCACCCCATTCTCCCTCCTTCCATCACCCTGCCCCATGCTCCCTCCTTCCATTACCCCGCCCCATTCTCCCGCTTTCCATCACCCCGCCCCGTTCTCCTGCTTTCTATCACCCCGCCCCGTTCTCCCGCTTTCCATCACCCCGTCCCATTTTCCCGCTTTCCCTCACCCCGCCCCAGTCTCCCGCTTTCCATAGCCCCGCCCCATTCTACCGCTTTCCATCATCCCGCCCCCTTCTACTGCTTTCCATCACCAGACCCCATTCTCCCGCTTTCCATCACCCCGCCCCATTCTCCCGCTTTCCATCATCCCGCCCTATTCTCCCGCTTTCCATCACCCCGCCCCATTCTCCCGCTTTCCATCACCCCGCCCCATTCTCCCGCTTTCCATCACTCCGCCCCATTCTCCAGCTTTCCATCACCCAGCCCAATTCTCCTGCTTTCCATCACCCCGCCCCATTCTCCCGCTTTCCATCACCCCGCCCCATTCTCCTGCTTTCCATCACCCCGCCCCATTCTCCCTCCTTCTTTCACCCCGCCCCATTGTTTCGCTTTCCATCACCCCGCCCCATTCTCCCGCTTTCCATCACCCCGCCCCATTCTCCCACTTTCCATCACCCCACCCCATTCTCCCGCTTTCCATCACCCCACCCTATTCTCCCGCGTTCAATCACCCCGCCCCATTCTCCCTCCTTCCATCACCCCGCCTCATTCTTCCTCCTTCTATCACCCCGCCCCATTCTCCCTCCTTCCATCACCCCGCCCCATTCTCCCGCTTTCCATCACCCTGCCCCATTCTCCCGCTTTCCATCACCCTGCCCTATTCTCCCGCGTTCAATCACCCCGCCCCATTCTCCCTCCTTCCATCACCCCGCCTCATTCTCCCTCCTTCCATCACCCCGCCCCATTCTCCCTCCTTCAATCACCCCGCCCGATTCTCCTACTTTCCATCACCCTGCCCCCTTCTCCCGCTTTCCATCACCGCGCCCCATTCTCCCTCCTTCCATCACCCCGCCCCATCCTCCCTCCTTCCATCACCCCGCCCCATTCTCCCTCCTTCCATCACCCCGCCCCATTCTCCCGCTTTCCATCACCCCGCCCCATTCTCCCGCTTTCCATCGCCCCGCCCCATTCTCCCTCCTTCCTTCACCACAGCCCATTCTCCTGCTTTCCATCACCCCGCCCCATTCTCCCGTTTCCATCACCCCGCCCCATTCTCCCGCTTTCTATCACCCTGCCCCATTCTCCCGCTTTCCATCACCCCGCCCCATTCTCCCGCTTTCCATCACCCCGCCCCGTTCTCCCGCTTTCCATCACCTCGCCCCATTCTCCCGCTTTCCATCACCCCGCCCCATTCTCCCTCTTTCCATCACCTCGCCCCATTCTCCCGCTTTCCATCACCCCGCCCCATTCTCCCTCTTTCCATCACCCCGCCCCATTCTCCCTCCTTCCATATCTGGGAGAAGGGGGTGAAATCTGGGAGAAGGGGATGGAATCTAGGAGAAGGGGATGGAATCTGGGAGAAGGGGATGTAATCTGGGAGAAGGGGATGGAATCTTGGAGAAGGGGATGGAATGAGGGAGAAGGGGATGGAATCTGGGAGAAGGGGATGGAATCTGGGAGAAGGGGATGGAATCAAGAAGAAGGGGATGAAATTTGGGAGAAGGGGATGGAATCAGGGAGAAGGGGATGGAATTTGGGAGAAGGGGATGGAATCTGGGAGAAGGGGATGGAATGTGGGAGAAGGGGATGGAATCTGGGAGAAGCGGATGGAATCGGGGAGAAGGGGATGGAATCTGGGAGAAGGGGATGGAATGAGGGACAAAGGGATGGAATCTGGGAAAAGGGGATGGAAACTGGGAGAAGGGGATGGAATCTGGGAGAAGGGGATGGAATATGGGAGAAGGGGATGGAATCTGGGAGAAGGGAATGGAATCTGGAAGAAGGGGATGGAATCTGGGAGAAGGGGATGGGATCAGGGAGAAGGGGATGGAATCGTGGAGAAGGGATGAAATCTGGAAGAAGGGGATAGTATTTGGGAGAAGGGGATGGAATCTGGGAGAAGGGGATGGAATTTAGAAGAAGGGGATGGAATTTGGGAAAAGGGGATGGAATCCAGGAGAAGGGGATGGAATGGGAGAAGGGGATGGAATCTGGGAGAAGGGGATGGAATCTGGGAGAAGGGGATGGAATCTGAGAGAAGGGGATGAAATCTGGGTGAAGGGGATGGAATATGGGGGAAGGGGATAGAATTTGGGAGAAGGGGATGGAATCTGGGAGAAGTGGATGGAATCAGGGAGAAGGGGATGGAATCTGGGAGAAGGGGATAGAATTTGGGAGAAGTGGATGGAATCTGGAGAAGGGGATGGAATCTGGGAGAAGGGGATGGAATCTGGGAGAAGGGGATGGAATCTAGGAGAAGGGGATGGAATTTGGAAGAAGGGGATGGAATTTGGGAAAAGGGGATGGAATTTGGGAGAAGGGGATGGAATGGGAGAAGGGGATGGAATCTGGGAGAAGGGGATGGAATCTGGGAGAAGGGGATGGAATCTGGGAGAAGGGGATGGAATCTGGGAGAAGGGGATGGGATCAGGGAGAAGCGGATGGAATCGGGGAGAAGGGATGAAATCTGGGAGAAGGGGATGGAATCTGGGAGAAGGGGATGGAATCTGGGAGAAGGGGATGGAATCTGAGAGAAGGGGATGAAATCTGGGTGAAGGGGATGGAATATGGGGGAAGGGGATAGAATCTGGGAGAAGGGGATGGAATCTGGGAGAAGTGGATGGAATCAGGGAGAAGGGGATGGAATCTGGGAGAAGGGGATAGAATTTGGGAGAAGTGGATGGAATCTGGAGAAGGGGATGGAATCTGGGAGAAGGGGATGGAATCTGGGAGAAGGGGATGGAATCTAGGAGAAGGGGATGGAATTTGGAAGAAGGGGATGGAATTTGGGAAAAGGGGATGGAATTTGGGAGAAGGGGATGGAATGGGAGAAGGGGATGGAATCTGGGAGAAGGGGATGGAATCTGGGAGAAGAGGATGGAATCTGGGAGAAGGGGATGGAATCTGGGAGAAGGGGATGGGATCAGGGAGAAGCGGATGGAATCGGGGAGAAGGGATGAAATCTGGGAGAAGGGGATAGAATTTGGGAGAAGGGGATGGAATTTGGAGAAGGGGATGGAATCTGGGAGAAGGGGATGGATTCTGGGAGAAGGGGATGGAATCTGGGAGAAGGGGATGGAATCTGGGAGAAGGGGATGGAATCTGGGAGAAGGGGATGGAATCTGGGAGAAGGGGATGGAATCTTGGAGAAGGGGGTGGAATCTCGGAGAAGGAGATGGAATCTAGGAGAAGGGGATGGAATTTGAGAGAAGGGGATGGAATCTGGAGAAGGGGATAGAATCTGGGAGAAGGGAATGGAATCTGGGAGAAGGGGATGGACCCTGGGAGAAGGGGATGGAATCTGCGAGAAGGGGATGGAATCTGGGAGTAGGGGATGGAATCTAGGAGAAGGGGATGGAATCTGGGAGAAGGGGATGGAATCTGGGAGAAGGGGATGGAATCTTGGAGAAGGGGATGGAATGAGGGAGAAGGGGATGGAATCTGGGAGAAGGGGATGGAATCTGGGAGAAGGGGATGGAATCAGGAAGAAGGGCATGAAATTTGGGAGAAGGGGATGGAATCTTGGAGAAGGGGATGGAATTTGGGAGAAGGGGATGGAATCTGGGAGAAGGGGATGGAATCGGGGAGAAGGGGATGGAATCTGGGAGAAGGGGATGGAATGAGGGACAAAGGGATGGAATCTGGGAAAAGGGGATGGAACCTGGGAGAAGGGGATGGCATCTGGGAGAAGCGGATGGAATTTGGGAGAAGGGGATGGAATCTAGGAGAAGGGGATGGAATCTGGGAGAAGGGGATGGAATATGGGAGAAGGGGATGGAATCAAGAAGAAGGGGATGAAATTTGGGAGAAGGGGATGGAATCAGGGAGAAGGGGATGGAATTTGGGAGAAGGGGATAGAATCTGGGAGAAGGGGATGGAATGTGGGAGAAGGGGATGGAATCTGGGAGAAGCGGATGGAATCGGGGAGAAGGGGATGGAATCTAGGAGAAGGGGATGGAATGAGGGACAAAGGGATGGAATCTGGGAAAAGGGGATGGAAACTGGGAGAAGGGGATGGAATCTGGGAGAAGGGGATGGAATATGGGAGAAGGGGATGGAATCTGGAAGAAGGGAATGGAATCTGGAAGAAGGGGATGGAATCTGGGAGAAGGGGATGGGATCAGGGAGAAGGGGATGGAATTGTGGAGAAGGGATGAAATCTGGAAGAAGGGGATAGAATTTGGGAGAAGGGGATGGAATCTGGGAGAAGGGGATGGAATTTAGAAGAAGGGGATGGAATTTGGGAAAAGGGGATGGAATCTGGGAGAAGGGGATGGAATGGGAGAAGGGGATGGAATCTGGGAGAAGGGGATGGAATCTGGGAGAAGGGGATGGAATCTGGGAGAAGGGGATGGAATCTGAGAGAAGGGGATGAAATCTGGGTGAAGGGGATGGAATATGGGGGAAGGGGATAGAATCTGGCAGAAGGGGATGGAATCTGGGAGAAGTGGATGGAATCAGGGAGAAGGGGATGGAATCTGGGAGAAGGGGATAGAATTTGGGAGAAGGGGATGGAATCTGGAGAAGGGGATGGAATCTGGGAGAAGGCGATGGAATCTGGGAGAAGGGGATGGAATCTAGGAGAAGGGGATGGAATTTGGAAGAAGGGGATGGAATTTGGGAAAAGGGGATGGAAATTGGGAGAAGGGGATGGAATGGGAGAAGGGGATGGAATCTGGGAGAAGGGGATGGAATCTGGGAGAAGGGGATGGAATCTGGGAGAAGGGGATGGAATCTGGGAGAAGGGGATGGGATCAGGGAGAAGCGGATGGAATCGGGGAGAAGGGATGAAATCTGGGAGAAGGGGATAGAATTTGGGAGAAGGGGATGGAATTTGGAGAAGGGGATGGAATCTGGGAGAAGGGGATGGATTCTGGGAGAAGGGGATGGAATCTGGGAGAAGGGGATGGAATCTGGGAGAAGGGGATGGAATCTTGGAGAAGGGGATGGAATCTGGGAGAAGGGGGTGGAATCAGGGAGAAGGGGATGGAATCTGGGAGAAGGGGATAGAATCTGGGAGAAGAGATGGAATCTGGGAGAAGGGGATGGAATCTGGGAGAAGGGGATGGTATCTGGGTGAAGGGGATGGAATATGGGAGAAGGGGATGGAATCTGGGAGAAGGGGATGGAATCTAGGAGAAGGGGATGGAATCAAAGAGAAGGGGATGGAGTCCGGGAGAAGGGGATGGAATCTGGGAGAAGGGGGTGGAATCAAGGAGAAGGGGATGGAATCCGGGAGAAGGGGATGGAATCTGGGAGAAGGGGATGGAATCCGGGAGAAGGGGATGGAATCTGGGAGAAGGGGATGAAATCAGGGAGAAGGGGATGGAATCTGGGAGAAGGGGATGGAATCAAGGAGAAGGGGATGGGATCAGGGAGAAGCGGATGGAATCGGGGAGAAGGGATGAAATCTGGGAGAAGGGGATAGAATTTGGGAGAAGGGGATGGAATTTGGAGAAGGGGATGGAATCTGGGAGAAGGGGATGGATTCTGGGAGAAGGGGATGGAATCTGGGAGAAGGGGATGGAATTTGGGAGAAGGGGATGGAATCTTGGAGAAGGGGATGGAATCTGGGAGAAGGGGGTGGAATCAGGGAGAAGGGGATGGAATCTGGGAGAAGGGGATAGAATCTGGGAGAAGAGATGGAATCTGGGAGAAGGGGATGGAATCTGGGAGAAGGGGATGGTATCTGGGTGAAGGGGATGGAATATGGGAGAAGGGGATGGAATCTGGGAGAAGGGGATGGAATCTAGGAGAAGGGGATGGAATCAAAGAGAAGGGGATGGAGTCCGGGAGAAGGGGATGGAATCTGGGAGAAGGGGGTGGAATCAAGGAGAAGGGGATGGAATCCGGGAGAAGGGGATGGAATCTGGGAGAAGGGGATGGAATCCGGGAGAAGGGGATGGAATCTGGGAGAAGGGGATGAAATCAGGGAGAAGGGGATGGAATCTGGGAGAAGGGGATGGAATCAAGGAGAAGGGGATGGAATCTGGGAGAAGGGGATGGAATCAGGGGGAAGGGGATGGAATCTGGGAGAAGGGGATGGAATCTGGGAGAAGGGGATGGAATCTGGGAGAAGGGGATAGAATCTGGGAGAAGGGGATAGAATCTGGGAGAAGGGGATGGAATCTGGGAGAAGGGGATGGAATTAGGGAGAAGGGGATGGAATCTAGGGGAAGGGGATGGAATCTGGGAGAAGGGGATGGAATCTGGGAGATGGGGATGGAATCTGGGAGAAGGGGATGGAATCTGGGAGAAGGGGATGGAATGAGGGAGAAGGGGATGGAATCTGGGAGAAGGGGATGGAATCTGGGAGAAGAAGATGGAATCTGGGTGAAGGGGATGGAATCTGGGAGAAGGGGATGGAATCTAGGAGAAGGGGATGGAATCTGGGAGAAGGGGATGGAATCTGAGAGAAGGGGATGGAATGAGGGAGAAGGGGATGGAATCGGGGAGAAGGGGATGGAATCTGGGAGAAGGGGATGGAATTTAGGAGAAGGGGATGGAATATGGGAGAAGGGGATGCAATCAGGGAGAAGGGGATGGAATCGGGGAGAAGGGGATGGAATCAAAGAGAAGGGGATGAAATTTGGGAGAATGGGATGGAATTTTGGAGAAGTAGATGGAATCTGGGAGAAGGGGATGGAATCTGGGAGAAGGGGATGGAATCTGGAAGAAGGGGATGGAATCTGGGAGAAGGGGATGGAATCAAGGAGAAGGGGATGGAATCTAGGAGAAGGGGATGGAATCTGGGAGAAGGGGATGGAATCTGGGAGAAGAGGATGGAATCTGGGAGAAGGGGATGAAATATGGGAGAAGGTGATGGAATCGGGGAGAAGGGATAGAATCTGGGAGAAGGTGATGGAATCTGGGAGAAGGGGATGGAATCTGGGAGAAGGGGATGGAATCTCGGAGAAGGGGATGGAATCTGGGAGAAGGGGATGGAATCTGGGAGAAGGGGATGGAATTTGGGAGAAGGGGAAGGAATCTGGGAGAAGGGGATGGAATATGGGAGAAGGGGATGGAATATGGGAGAAGGAGATGGAATCTGGGAGAAGGGGATGGAATCTGGGAGAAGGGGATGGAATGAGGGAGAAGGGGATGGAATCGGGGAGAAGGGGATGGAATCTGGGAGAAGGGGATGGAATCTGGGAGAAGGGGATGGAATCTGGGAGAAGGGGATGGAATCTGGGAGAAGGGGGTGGAATCTGGGAGAAGGGGATGGAATCTGGGAGACGGGGATAGAATCTGGGAGAAGAGATGGAATCAGGGAGAAGGGGATGGAATCTGGGAGAAGGGGATGGTATCTGGGTGAAGGGGATGGAATATGGGAGAAGGGGATGGAATCTAAGAGAAGGGGATGGAATCTAGGAGAAGGGGATGGAATCAAAGAGAAGGGGATGGAGTCCGGGAGAAGGGGATGGAATCTGGGAGAAGGGGGTGGAATCAGGGAGAAGGGGATGGAATCCGGGAGAAGGGGATGGAATCTGGGAGAAGGGGATGGAATCCGGGAGAAGGGGATGGAATCTGGGAGAAGGGGATGGAATCAGGGAGAAGGGGATGGAATCAGGGAGAAGGGGATGGAATCAAGGAGAAGGGGATGGAATCTGGGAGAAGGGGATGGAATCAGGGGGAAGGGGATGGAATCTGGGAGAAGGGGATGGAATCTGGGAGAAGGGGATGGAATCTGGGAGAAGGGGATAGAATCTGGGAGAAGGGGATAGAATCTGGGAGAAGGGGATGGAATCTAGGGGAAGGGGATGGAATCGGAGAGAAGGGGATGGAATCTGGGAGATGGGGAAGGAATCTGGGAGAAGGGGATGGAATATGGGAGAAGGGGATGGAATCTGGGAGATGGGGAAGGAATCTGGGAGAAGGGGATGGAATCTGGGAGAAGGGGATGGAATGAGGGAGAAGGGGATAGAATCTAGGGGAAGGGGATGGAATCTGGGAGAAGGGGATGGAATCTGGGAGATGGGGAAGGAATCTGGGAGAAGGGGATGGAATCTGGGAGAAGGGGATGGAATTAGGGAGAAGGGGATGGAATCTGGGAGAAGGGGATGGAATCTGGGTGAAGGGGATGGAATCTGGGAGAAGGGGATGGAATCTAGGAGATTGGGATGGAATCTGGGAGAAGGGGATGGAATCTGAGAGAAGGGGATGGAATGAGGGAGAAGGGGATGGAATCGGGTAGAAGGGGATGGAATCTGGGAGAAGGGGATGGAATTTAGGAGAAGGGGATGGAATCTGGGAGAAGGGGATGCAATCAGGGAGAAGGGGATGGAATCTAGGGGAAGGGGATGGAATCTGGGAGAAGGGGATGGAATCTGGGAGATGGGGAAGGAATCTGGGAGAAGGGGATGGAATCTGGGAGAAGGGGATGGAATGAGGGAGAAGGGGATGGAATCTGGGAGAAGGGGATGGAATCTGGGAGATGGGGAAGGAATCTGGGAGAAGGGGATGGAATCTGGGAGAACGGGATGGAATGAGGGAGAAGGGGATGGAATCTGGGAGAAGGGGATGGAATCTGGGTGAAGGGGATGGAATCTGGGAGAAGGGGATGGAATCTAGGAGAAGGGGATGGAATCTGGGAGAAGGGGATGGAATCTGAGAGAAGGGGATGGAATCTGGGAGAAGGGGATGGAATCTGGGAGAAGGGGGTGGAATCTGGGAGAAGGGGATGGAATCTGGGAGAAGGGGATAGAATCTGGGAGAAGGGGATGGGATCAGGGAGAAGGGGATGGAATCAGGGAGAAGGGATGAAATTAGGGAGAAGGGGATAGAATTTGGGAGAAGGGGATGGAATCTGGAGAAGGGGATGGAATCTGGGAGAAGGGGATGGAATTTGGGAAAAGGGGATGGAATCTAGGAGAAGGGGATGGAATGGGAGAAGGGGATGGAATCTGGGAGAAGGGGATGGAATCTGGGAGAAGGGGATGGAATCTGGGAGAAGGGGATGGAATCTGGGTGAAGGGGACGGAATATGGGAGAAGGGGATGGAATTTGGGAGAAGGGGATGGAATTTGGGAGAAGGGGAAGGAATCAGGGAGAAGGGGATGGAGTCCGGGAGAAGGGGATGGAATCTGGGAGAAGGGGGTGGAATCAGGGAGAAGGGGATGGAATCCGGGAGAAGGGGATGGAATCTGGGAGAAGGGGATGGAATCCGGGAGAAGGGGATGGAATCTGGGAGAAGGGGATGGAATCTGGGAGAAGGGGATGGAATCTTGGAGAAGGGGATGGAATATGGGAGAAGGGGATGGAATCTGGGAGAAGGGGGTGGAATTTGGGAGAAGGGGATGAACTCTGGGAGAAGGGGATGGAATCAAGGAGAAGGGGATGGAATCAGGGAGAAGGGGATGGAATCTGGGAGAAGGGGATGGAATCTGGGAGAAGGGGGTGGAATCTGGGAGAAGGGGATGGAATCTGGGAGAAGGGGATGTAATCTGGGAGAAGGGGATGGAATCTGGGAGAAGTGGATGGAATCTGGAAGAAGGGGATGGAATCTAGGAGAAGGGGATGGAATGAGGGAGAAGGGGATGGAATGAGGGAGAAGGGGATGGAATCTGGGAGAAGGGGGTGGAATGTGGGAGAAGGGAATGGAATCTGGGAGAAGGGTATAGAATCTGGGAGAAGGGGATGAAATCAGGGAGAATGGGATGGAATTTGGAAGAAGGGGATGGAATCTGGGAGAAGGGGATGGAATCTGGGAGAAGGGGGTGGAATCGGGGAGAAGGGGATGAACTCTGGGAGAAGGGGATGGAATCTGGGAGAAGGGGATGGAATCTGGGAGAAGGGGATGGAATCTGGGAGAAGGGGATAGAATCTGGGAGAAAGTGATGGAATCTGGGAGAAGGGGATGGAATCTGGGAGAAGGGGGTGGAATCTGGGAGAAGGGGATGGAATATAGGAGAAGGGGATGGAATATGGGAGAAGGGGATGGAATCACGGAGAAGGGGATGAAATCTGGAAGAAGGGGATGGAATCTGGGAGAAGGGATGGAATCTGGGAGAAGGGGATGGAATCGGGGAGAAGGGGATGGAAGGAGGGAGAAGGGGATGGAATCTTGGAGAAAGGGATGGAATCTAGGAGAAGGGGATGGATTCGGGAGAAGGGGATGGAATGAGGGATTCAGGGTTTAGAATCTGGGAGAAGGGGATGGAATCTGGGAGAAGGGGATGGAATCTGGGAGAAGGGGATGGAATCGGGGAGAAGGGGATGGAATGAGGGAGAAGGGGATGGAATCTGGGAGAAGGGGATGGAATCTGGGAGAAGGGAATGGAATCTGGGAGAAGGGGATGGAATCTGGGAGAAGGGGATGGAATCAGAGGAAGGGGGTGGAATCTGGGAGAAGGGGATGAAATCTGGGAGAAGGGGATGGAATCTGGGAGAAGGGGATGGAATCTGGGAGAAGGGGATGGAATTGTTGGTGCAACCCTATGGTTTGCACTCGGCTTGTTGTCCGTGTGCGTGCATGTGTGTGTGTGTATGGAATGGTATGAGGGCATGGGATAATATATATTTCATGCTTATAATTGTGTGTGAATGTTGAGTCATGATGTCGAGTGTGAGTGTTGAGTCAATAGCGAGTTATCTCTAGACGCGTGTTACGCGGTCGTTTGTGTCTCGCGCGCGGTTTCTATTTTGTCGTGCGCGGTTTCTATTTTGTCCTGTGTCGAACGTTCGGTGTGTCACAGGTGTGTGCAGCAGACCCATCAAGAACTCAAGGATGAGTTTGTGATTAAGAGCCCGAGCCTTGGTGTCAAGCCTCAAGTGATTTCGAAGCTCGCCAAAAGGGTACACCTCAAGATATTGAAGATAGTTACATTACTTTGTGTAGTGTAACATTTCACTTGGTGTAGGCCCTAGTGAAGGGTAGTTTCGAGACCCTTCGTGGTTGGGGACAGTGTGGCACTGTTCCACATCACTGTACCTCGGCTCTTGGGGTTTGTAGGAGCTGGGAGTCATTCCCAACTCGTAACTCTTCAGATCTCTTCCTATTTTGTGTTCTAAGACTATAGTGGCTGCCATAGTGCCGTTCGTTCAAACCAACACTGTGTCGTCAATACTTGGTCAAATCGTGCGATCTAAATTGCCTATTGTAGGCGACGTTCCGACGCTCCAGATCCAAGTTGAATCAGGTCATTTGAAGTTGTGACCAGAACGCTATGAACGTTTGAAGCCACTGTGCAGAAATCCGGCTGTGCACTCTATCTTTCGTTTTAGGCACATTGGAGCCTATTGTGACTATAACAAGTGGTATCAGAGCGCCTTGGAGCAGTTTCGACAATGGCTGGACATGAGGAAAGGGGTGGCAGAGGTGCTGGTGGTAGAGGAGAAGCCCAAGCTCAAGGCCAACCCCGTGACTCAGCCATGGCGCCCGTGCAACCAAGTGTTGGCCCATCTAGGGATGAGCCTAGAGTGTTTGGCCTTGACAAGTTCAATGGTGACAACTTTGCTGAGTGGTCCTTCAGAATAGAGAACATATTTGACCACTATGACCTGCTGGAGGTGATGGAAGGAACGGAGAAGCGTCCCGAGAACGACCCGGAGAAGAGCCCGTGGGTGCGGAAGAGCGCACAAGGCTACCTCCTACTTGGGCAAGCGTTGGGGAGCAGCCAAATCCGTCACATCAAGCCTTTCCAGCGTGAACCAGAGAAGGGACCAAAAGCATGGGCTGCTCTCAAGGGTGTACACGCTCCTGCAACAGCGGCGGTAGCTGTGGTGTTGGAACGGCAAATGGCGACGTTACGAATTGAAGAGGATGAAGCGGTAGAAGAAGGGGTGCAGAAATTCTTCGACTTGTTGACGCGGCTTGAGGGAGCTGATTTGAACTATAGTGAGCTCCAAAAGAAGACCAAGTTGCTGGCCCTACTCCCCGAATCATGGTCCTCGCTCATCATCAACCTCAATCGCGACTTGCCCCGCCTCTCGCTCGAAGACGTGAAGCGGGCTATCCTTCAAGAGGATTTCCGCCGTCGTGAGTTGGCGAGTGCGGATGGCGCTGGGGCAGCGAGCATCGGCCGTGGATATGGTCGAGGAAGAGGCAGAGGAAAAGGGGGAGGAAGGTTTGGTGGCAGCAACTTTGGCGGAGGCCGCGGGAGTGGCGGTTACGGCAGCAATGACAAGAGCTACGGACGCGGTCGCGGCCGATTCGACGGCGAGTGTCACAATTGCCACAAGAGCGGACACATGTGGTGCGACTGCTACAAACTCCCTGATGGTTGGACCCCTGCTCAAGGCCAAGAGGGTAGAGGAGCAGGAGGAGGGAGAGGACGAGGCCGTGGAGGCCGTGGCGGTCGCGGTGGCGGAGTTGCAAACATGAAGAGCGGAGACAACGACAAGGACCTGAGCGACGATCGATACCCGGGTCTATTCTACTTCGTGTCGACGCAAGCACCGGCTGGTCCAGAGAAGGATGAAGACTTTGAGGAGCCAGCAGCTGTGGGGAAGGTGACCCTACACCCCCTGGACTACTGGGTGATTGATAGTGGCGCTACCTATAGCATGACACCTCGCCCGGACTTGCTCACCGAACTCGAGCCGTCACCGGTGAAGCATGTCACATCGGCTTTGGGGCAGCGAGCAGAGGTGAAAGGCATGGGGAAGGCCATGTTCAAGGGTGCTGATGGGAAGATGGTGGGCCTCAAGAACGTGCTTTGGGTGCCCAGCCTTGCTGCAAACCTGATTTCCGTGCGGCGGTTGGCAAAGGCCGGCATGGACACTAACTCGAAGGGAGCCAAGACCTACACCGCAAGGCTTGGCGATCGAATTCTCTGGGACCTTCATGAGGACAGGGATGTCTACAACGAGATGTGGCAGATTCCAGTGGTCCCTATGCCTAAGGAGAGGCAAGTGGCAGCAAGCATCAGCACCAAGGATGGAGCGGTCGGTAGCGACGATGGCGCGAACGGTCGCGCTAAGGAGAATGAGCTCAAGAAGAGCAAACCTGGAGGGACCAGCAAGTTCAGTGAACCTAAGGAGAGTGGTACAGCAGCCAAAGAGCAGCAAAAGGGTGAGGAGAACCCCGAGGCAGCAGCGGAGGAGGACTACGGAGAGAGTATGTGGGGCGCTATTGCGAGCGCGGCATTCTCCAATCCAACTTCGGCTACGGGGGAGTGTGATTGGCTCACCTTGCATCGGCGCATGGGGCATGTGGCCCTGCCTATCTTGCAGCAGCTAGTGAAGAATGAGATGGTTGCTGGCATACGTGTGAAGGGGGAGCCCGATGAGGTGCTTGGCTGCCCGACGTGCATTCAAGCCAAGTTCACCCGGTTTCCGTTCTCTATTTCGGAGGCAACGGCAAAGGCACCGCTTGATGAGGTGGTGATGGACGTGGTGGGCCCCCTGAAGCTTGGAGCTGCTGGAGCTGAGTATTTTCTCACCATTGTTGACGTCTACACCCGCATGACTTGGGTGTACGTGCTGGCCAAGAAGAGTGACGTGGCTGAAACGTTGAAGGCGGATTGGTTCCCGATGGTGGAGCGGCAACAAGACCGTCTAGTCAAGTCAATCCGCACCGATCGAGGGGGAGAGTTCCTGAGCAAGGAGTTTGGGTTGTGGCTGAAGAAGAATGGTATTCGGCACTCCCTCACCATGCCATACTCCCCTGCAATGAACGGCATCGCCGAGCGAGCGAACCGCACAATCACGGAGGCGGCGCGCGGGTTGCTCATTGAAGCCGGGCTACCCGACTATTTCTGGCCTGATGCGGTGCGGAGCGCGTGTGTGGCCAAGAACAGAGCCTTGACTCATGTGGGAGCAGACAAATGGGTGCCCTATGTGGAGTGGCTAGGAAGGAAGCCAAAGGTGGATATGCTTCGGGTGTTCGGGTGCATGTGCATGGCGCTTGTGCCTAAGCATCTTCGGCACAACAAGCTTGGTGCCAAGGCGGTGTGGGCCGTGCACTTGGGCATGGCTCAAAACAGCAAGGGATGGCTTCTTTGGGACCCATTCACCAAGAAGTTCTTGGTGAGCAGGGACTGCAAGTTCATGGAGAACTTCATGTACAAGGATTGGAAGGCGGAGAATGAGGCGAAGATAGGCGTGCGGTTTGGGGAGGTGAAGAGTTCCGGTTTGGAGCATGTGGAGCTGCCTTTGGAGCTGAGCAGCGGCAGCACAACCACGAGGCAATCCTCCCTTGTGAATGGGGGAGAGGAGGCCAATGATGCAGAGGAAGAAGAGGAGGAGGTGCAGCAAGTGAGCGAGCGTGCACCGTCACTCCCTTCCCGTACCACGAGTGCTCCACAGATTCGAGCCACACCGCAGCAACGCCAAGGCCTTCAAGTCCCTGCAGCTGAGGAGGAAGGAAGGGGGAAGAGGAGAGTTCAACCCCCTAATAGGCTGACCTATGATGCACTTGGAAAGCAAGGCAAGACAGCCCTGGCCGGAGCGGCAATGATGGTCGGAGACGACGAGGAGAGTGACTACGAGGAGTGTGCCTTCGCGTTCTTCTTGCGGAGATTCACTCTACAACGGCAGTGAGCTAGACTACAGGGTTGGCACGAAATACTAGAGGTGACCTCCGCTTTGCTTGGTTCCTTAGTGCTTGCACATTCACAGGAGAAATTGGCAAGAGTTTCCACTAGCAAGGTTGGGAATTACAGAATTGAACAAAAGAAGCAATGACAACAATGACTACATCAGGCACCTAGCAACCCTGCAGCTAGCCTGGTCGACTGCCAGCGCAGCTCGGTCGACCGCCTGCCAGCATTGCATAGAGGAGCCGCGCCAGCACTGCAGAAGTGCGACTTGCCAACAGGGCTAGTCGACGGCGTGCCCGTAGAACACAGCAGTGCGCGCGCTCGCAGGTGTGCGCAGGCGATTGGTCCAACTTGCCTCGTTGGGCATCCGTCGGCTGTTGTTTGCGCCTGACGAGCCACATCGACTTCGGGATACCAGCCCGAAGTCGCCTGCGCCATCGCGATCTCGACGGCATTCGCGTGCCTCCGCAGAAGTCGTCGAGCAGGTTACCCGGTCGACCTGGTCGACCCCTGGTGCTCTGGTCGACTCCCACGTGCCTCCCGTCGACCACTGGGTCTCTCTGGTTGACCACCGGATGCTCCTGGTCGACCACACCTCCCGTCATGCTACCCCTTGGTCGACGGACCCCTTCCGTCGACCAGAACCGCTCCGTCGACCTCCCAGTCGAACTGCAGTTCGACGGAATGCTCCGTAGACTTCCCCGTCGAGCTGTAGGTCGACGGACTACTTCGTCGACCTCCCGGACGGCTCGCCCGTCGCCCAGGCCAGTCAGTTGCAGCTGTCGAGCATCCTGGTCGACAGCAACACCACAGCGGTCCGCTGCCGCTCGACGTAACCTGTCGAGCATCTATCCCACTGTGAACAGTCGGCTGCTACTCCCGTGCATCCGACCAAGTCGTCGGCGTTGCCCAAGCGAGGGCGGGGCCAACACTCCATTCCCGTTAACACTTCTCTCCGGTGGAGATGCCGGGAGAACCAGCAACTCTCAAGGAGGCTTTGGAGAGTAGTGATGCTGAGGAGTGGAAGAAGGCTTTGGAGAGTGAGCTGAAGAGCATCGAGGAGAATGACACGTTTGAATTGGTGGAGCTACCGGAGGGGCGTACGGCGATAACGTCCAAGTGGCTCTTCAAAATCAAGTCGGATGCCGACGGCAAGATCGAGCGTTACAAGTCTAGGCTTGTAGCCAAGGGGTACCAGCAGAAGGAGAAGGTGGACTTCAAGGAGCTGTTTGCCCCTGTAGTGAAGCCGACGACGCTGCGAACCCTATTCGCGGGAGCCGCCATCAAAGGATGGGTAGTTAAACAAATGGACATCGTAACGGCATTCCTTAACGGCATCCTTGAGGAGGAGATTTTTATGGCGCAGCCAGAGGGGTTTGATGATGGTAGTGGCAGAGTGTGGAAGCTGAAGAAGGCCCTCTATGGGCTGAAGCAGGCCCCTAGGCAATGGTACATGAAGCTGCGCGAAGTGTTGGAGGAGATCGGCTTCACTCCCTCAACGGCCGATCACTCCTTGTTCATGCTTGGCGAGGGGGAGCAGAGGAGCTTCATGGTGGTTTATGTGGATGACATTCTCATATTCTCACCCTCCTCTGACCTTGTGAAGGAGGTGATGCTGAAGCTGCATGACAAGTTCAAGTGCAAGTCCCTTGGCGACGTGAACTTCTACCTTGGGCTCCACATCGAACGAGACGTGGAGAAGCGAAGCATGCGAGTGCACCAACGGAAGTACCTGGAGGCGTTGGCTGCCAACTTCGGCCAGAGTGAAGGTCATGTGGCTACTCCCTTTCCCTCTGGGTTCAATTGTGTGAAGGGGCCAGAGGAGGAGAGCGTTGGAGAAGAGGAGAGGCGCCGATTTCACTCGTTGGTGGGCAGCCTCATGTATGCGGCGGTAAACACCCGACCGGACGTCGCGTTTGCTACCGGGCAGCTGGCTAGGGTTGTGCAATGCCGTAATGAGGAGCAAGTAGCAGCTGGAATGAGGGTGGCCAAGTATCTTGGCCAAACACCGACCGTTGGGCTGCAATACTCGGCGGCGGCACAAAGGCGCCAAAAGGGCGCGGATGGTGTTGAACCCGGGCGTTTGTTCCTCACCGCCTACTCGGATGCTTCATATGCATCGGAACCAGAGGACATGACAAGTGTGGGAGGCTTCATATGCTGTGTTGGTGGAGGCCCAACTGCTTGGGAGAGCAAGAAGCAGGTTGACCAAGCTTTGAGCTCGGTGGAGTCCGAGTATATGGCACTCTTCCGTGCCGTACAGGAGATTGTGTGGCAGCGGCGTTTGTTGGCTGAATTGGGGGAGGAGCAGCAAGGACCTACCCCACTGTATTGTGACAGCCAGGGTGCCATTGCTCTTGCTAAGAACCCTGTGTTGCATGGACTCACGAAGCACATGAGGGTGAAGTGGCATTGGACGAGGAGCATGGTAACCGCGGGTGAAGTTGAGTTGCGCTACGTGAAGACCACGGGGCAGCCGGCTGACATGATGACCAAGAGGCTGGTGGAGCAGCAGCATTGGAAGTGTTGCAAGCTGGCTGGGATGGCTCTGAACTGACAGAGCAACATATCCTAAGGCCAACAATCCGAGGGGGAGTTTGTTGGTGCAACCCTATGGTTTGCACTCGGCTTGTTGTCCGTGTGCGTGCATGTGTGTGTGTGTGTATGGAATGGTATGAGGGCATGGGATAATATATATTTCATGCTTATAATTGTGTGTGAATGTTGAGTCATGATGTCGAGTGTGAGTGTTGAGTCAATAGCGAGTTATCTCTAGACGCGTGTTACGCGGTCGTTTGTGTCTCGCGCGCGGTTTCTATTTTGTCGTGCGCGGTTTCTATTTTGTCCTGTGTCGAACGTTCGGTGTGTCGCAGGTGTGTGCAGCAGACCCATCAAGAACTCAAGGATGAGTTTGTGATTAAGAGCCCGAGCCTTGGTGTCAAGCCTCAAGTGATTTCGAAGCTTGCCAAAGGGTACACCTCAAGATATTGAAGATAGTTACATTACTTTGTGTAGTGTAACATTTCACTTGGTGTAGGCCCTAGTGAAGGGTAGTTTCGAGACCCTTCGTGGTTGGGGACAGTGTGGCACTGTTCCACATCACTATACCTCGGCTCTTGGGGTTTGTAGGAGCTGGGAGTCATTCCCAACTCGTAACTCTTCAGATCTCTTCCTATTTTGTGTTCTAAGACTATAGTGGCTGCCATAGTGCCGTTCGTTCAAACCAACACTGTGTCGTCAATACTTGGTCAAATCGTGCGATCTAAATTGCCTATTGTAGGCGACGTTCCGACGCTCCAGATCCAAGTTGAATCAGGTCATTTTAAGTTGTGACCAGAACGCTATGAACGTTTGAAGCCACTGTGCAGAAATCCGGCTGTGCACTCTATCTTTCGTTTTAGGCACATTGGAGCCTATTGTGACTATAACAGGAATCTGGGAGAAAGGGATGGAATCAGGGGGAAGGGGATGGAATCTGGGAGGAGGGGATGGAATCTGGGAGAAGGGGGTGTAATCTGGGAGAAGGGGATGGAATCTTGGAGAAGGGTATAGAATCTGGGAGAAGGGGATGGAAACTGGGAGAAGGGGATCGAGTCTGGGAGAAGGGGATGGAATCTGGGAGAAGGGGATGGAATCAGGGAGAAGGGGATGGAATTTGGGAGAAGGGGATGGAATCTGGGAGAAGGGGATGGAATCTGGGAGAAGGGGATGGAATCTGGGAGAAGGGGGTGGAATCTGGGAGAAGGGGATGAACTATGGGAGAAGGGGATGGAATCTGGGAGAAAGGGGATGGGATCTAGGAGAAGGGGATGGAATCTGGGAGAAGGGGATGGAATCTGGGAGAAGGGGATGGAATCTGGGAGAAGGGGATGGAATCTAGGAGAAGGGGATGGAATCTGCGAGAAGGGGATGGAATCTAGGAGAAGGGGATGGAATCTGGGAGAAGGGGATGGAATCTGGGAGAAGGGGGTGGAATCAGACCCCCTCATTCTCCCTCCTTCCATCACCCCGCCCCATTCTCCCGCTTTCCATCACCTCGCCCCATTCTCCCGCTTTCCATCACCCAGCCCCATTCTCCCACGTTCCATCACCCCGCCCCATTTTCCCGCTTTCTATCACCCTGCCCCATTCTCACGCTTTCCATCACCCTGCCCCAATCTCCCGCTTTCCATCACCCCGGCCCATTCTCCCTCCTTCCATCACCCCGCCCCATTCTCCTGCTTTCCATCACCCCGCCCCATTCTCCCGCTTTCCATAACCCCGCCCCATTCTCCCTCCTTCCATCACCCGCCCCGTTCTCCCTCCTTCCATCACCCCGCCCCTTTCTCCCTCCTTCCATCACCCCGCCCTATTCTCCCGCTTTCCATCAGCCCGCCCCATTCTCCCGCTTTCCATCACCCCGCCCCATTCTCCCGCTTTCCATCACCCCGCCCCATTCTCCCGCTTTCCATCACCCCGCCCCATTCTCCCGCTTTCCATCACCCCGCCCCATTCTCCCGCTTTCCATCTCCCCGCCCCATTCTCCCGCTTTCCATCACCCCGCCCCATTCTCCCGCTTTCCATCACCCCGCCCCATTCTCCCTCTTTCCATAACCCCGCCCCATTCTCCCTCCTTCCATCACCCGCCCCGTTCTCCCTCCTTCCATCACCCCGCCCCTTTCTCCCTCCTTCCATCACCCCGCCCTATTCTCCCGCTTTCCATCACCCGGCCCCATTCTCCCACTTTCCATCACCCCGCCTCATTCTCCCGCTTTCCATCACCCCGCCCCATTCTCCCGCTTTCCATCACCCCGCCCCATTCTCCCGCTTTCCATCACCACGCCCCATTCTCCCTCCTTCCATCACCCCGCCCCATTCTCCCGCTTTCCATCACCCCGCCCCATGCTCCCGCTTTCCATCACCCCGCCCCATTCTCCCGCTTTTCATCACCCCGCCCCATTCTCCCACTTTCCATCACCCCGCCCCATTCTCCCGCTTTCCATCACCCCGCCCCATTCTCCCTCCTTCCATCACCCCGCCCCATTCTCCCGCTTTCCATCTCCCCGCCCCATTCTCCCGCTTTCCATCACCCCGCCCCATTCTCCCGCTTTCCATCACCCCGCCCCATTCTCCCGCTTTCCATAACCCCGCCCCATTCTCCCTCCTTCCATCACCCGCCCCGTTCTCCCTCCTTCCATCACCCCGCCCCTTTCTCCCTCCTTCCATCACCCCGCCCTATTCTCCTGCTTTCCATCACCCCGCCCCATTCTCTTGCTTTCCATCACCCCGCCCCATTCTCCCGCTTTCCATCACCCCGCCCCATTCTCCCGCTTTCCATCACCCCGCCCCATGCTCCCGCTTTCCATCACCCCGCCCCATTCTCCCGCTTTTCATCACCCCGCCCCATTCTCCCACTTTCCATCACCCCGCCCCATTCTCCCGCTTTCCATCACCCTGCCCCATTCTCCCTCCTTCCATCACCCCGCCCCATTCTCCCGCTTTCCATCAGCCCACCCCATTCACCCGCTTTCCATCACACCGCCCCATTCTCCCGCTTTCCATCACCCCGCCCCATTCTCCCGCTTTCCATCACCCCGCCCCATTCTCCCATCACCCCGCCCCATTCTCCCGCTTTCCATCACCACGCCCCATTCTCCCGCTTTCCATCACCCCGCCCCATTCTCCCGCTTTCCATCACTCCGCCCCATTCTCCCGCTTTCCATCACCCCGCCCCATTCTCCTGCTTTCCATCATCCCGCCCTATTCTTCTCCTTCCATCACCCCGCCTCATTCTACCTCCTTCCATCACCCCGCCCCATTCTCCCGTTTTCCATCACCCCGCCCCATTCTCCCGCTTTCCATCACCCCGCCCCATTCTCCCGCTTTCATCACCACGCCCCATTCTCCCTCCTTCCATCACCCCGCCCTATTCTCCCGCTTTCCATCACCCCGCCCCATTCTCCCTCCTTCCATCACCCCACCTCATTCTACCTCCTTCCATCACCCCGCCCCATGCTCCCGCTTTCCATCATCCCGCCCCATTCTCCCGCTTTTCATCACCCCGCCCCATTCTCCCACTTTCCATCACCCCGCCCCATTCTCCCGCTTTCCATCACCCCGCCCCATTCTCCCTCCTTCCATCACCCCGCCCCATTCTCCCGCTTTCCATCAGCCCACCCCATTCACCCGCTTTCCATCACACCGCCCCATTCTCCCGCTTTCCATCACCCCGCCCCATTCTCCCGCTTTCCATCACCCCGCCCCATTCTCCATCACCCCGCCCCATTCTCCCGCTTTCCATCACCACGCCCCATTCTCCCGCTTTCCATCACCCCGCCCCATTCTCCCGCTTTCCATCACTCCGCCCCATTCTCCCGCTTTCCATCACCCCGCCCCATTCTCCTGCTTTCCATCACCCCGCCATATTCTTCTCCTTCCATCACCCCGCCTCATTCTACCTCCTTCCATCACCCCGCCCCATTCTCCCGTTTTCCATCACCCCACCCCATTCTCCCGCTTTCCATCACCCCGCCCCATTCTCCCGCTTTCCATCACCACGCCCCATTCTCCCGCTTTCCATCACCCCGCCCCATTCTCCCTCCTTCGATCACTGTGCCCCATTCTCCCGCTTTCCGTCACCCCGCCCCATTCTCCCGCTTTCCATAACCCCGCCCCATTCTCCCGCTTTCCATCACCCCGCCACATTCTTCCACTTTCCATCACCCGGCCCTATTCTCCCTCCTTCCATCACCCCGCCCCATTCTCCCTCCTTCCATCACCCCGCCCCATTCTCCCTCCTTTCATCACCCCGCCCTATTCTCCCGCTTTCCATCAGCCCTCCCCATTCTCCCGCTTTCCATCACCCCGCCCCATTCTCTCGCTTTCCATCACCCCGCCCCATTATCCCGCTTTCCATCACCCTGCCCCATTCTCCCGCTTTCCATCACCACGCCCCATTCTCCCTCCTTCCATCACCCCGCCCCATTCTCCCGCTTTCCATCACCCCGCCCCATTCTCCCTCCTTCCATCACCCCACCTCCATCTACCTCCTTCCTTCACCCCGCCCCATGCTCCCGCTTTCCATCACCCTGCCCCATTCTCCCGCTTTTCACCACCCCGCCCCATTCTCCCACTTTCCATCACCCCGCCCCATTCTCCCGCTTTCCATCACCCCGCCCCATTCTCCCTCCTTCCATCACCCCGCCCCATTCTCCCGCTTTCCATCAGCCCACCCCATTCACCCGCTTTCCATCACACCGCCCCATTCTCCCGCTTTCCATCACCCTGTTGGTGCAACCCTATGGTTTGCACTCGGCTTGTTGTCCGTGTGCGTGCATGTGTGTGTGT